CCGGCCGAAGCTGTGCCACCAGCCCGAGCGGCGGGAGCTCCTCGACCCCCCCGCCGCTGGCACCGCCGCCCTCCGCACCGCATCCTCCCGCACCGCCGCCGCCGCCGCCGCCGCCGCCGCCGCCGCCGCCGCCGCCGCCGCCGCCGCCGCCGCCGCCGCCGCCCTCATCGACAGGGCGGATCGGCACCGTCGCCCGGCGCAACGCCGCCTCCGCCTCGCGCTGCAGCGTGATCGCCGCCGCCATCTCTGCGATCTCGCTCTCCACCTGCTCACACCCACCGCTGTGAAGAGACGCCGTCCACACCCTCGCCACCCTCGGCCAGCTCCGCCCTCCCACCTCTGCCTCGCAGGTCGGCGTCCTCTCGCGCGAGCGCAGCATGGCCGCCCTCGCCTCGCCCCTCCGCCCCTGCTCGAGCAGCGGGCTGGGCGGTGAGCTCTGCGGATGCGAGCCTCGGCAACACCTCGGCCGCACCTCGGCCGCACCTCGGCCGCACCTCGGCCGCACCTCGGAGCACATCTCGGCACAATCTCGCGTCTCGGCACAATCTCGCGTCTCGGCTGCTCGACGAGCAGCAATCTCGGCGAATCTCGGCGAATCTCGGCTCGTCACGGCTCGTCTCGGCGCCTGCTCGAGCAGCCAGCGCGGCGACTCTGGCATAAAGGCCATCCCCACCAGCTGCACAACCGCGGGCACGGCCGCCAGACCGAGCATGTACCGCCAGCCCGCCTACCACTCCTCCCGGCGCCGCGGCTGAGGCAACTGCTAACGCCTCCCCTCCTCGCGCGCCGCAACCCCCCCCCCCCCCCCGGGTCACCGGCACGAGGGCGAAGGAGCCGTCGACGAGGCCCGCGAGGACCTACGGTTGGCTCCAGGCAGCTTCCGGGAAGGTTCCAGGAAGCTGCCTCGACGAGGCCGCGCGAGCACCTGCCCGCTAACAATGCACACGTTGTTGAGCGCGACGAGCTTGCCGCGCATCGCGGTCGGCGCAACCTCGGCGATGAACATCGGCACCGTCCCCGAGGAGAGGCCGACGGCCACCTATCCACGCTGCACCGTGTGAGGGAGGTGGCCTCGGCACCGCCCGAAGAGGAGAAGGGGCGGCGGCGGCCCCGACGATGACCCGGCCGAGGACGAGCGTGCCAAACGAGGCGGAGGCGGCCATGAGGAGGGCGCCGAGGGTGAAGGTGGCCGAGCCGAGGAGGATGGTCGGGCGCCGCCCCAGCCGCATATTTATCGGGCCCGAGGCGAGCGAGCCGAGCGCGGCAAAGAGGATGGTCGACGAGACGACCGCCTCCAGCTCGACGGCGCCGAGGCGAAAGCGCTCCTTGAGGAGGAGGGAGGCGCCCGAGATGACGCCGGTGTCGTACCCGAAGAGCAGACCGCCCAGGCACGAGAGGAAGATCAGCCAGTAGAGGAAGCAGCGGCCGCTGCAGAGGCCGCTGGAGAAGCCCAGCAGCGCCTCGCCGTCGTTGAGGCTGCTGACACGGCGAGCTGCTACTTCCGGCTGCCCCGCCTGGCTGACGGAGATGCCGCGTAGGCTGCCGGACACCGCGCGGCGGGCGGGCATCAGCGGCTCGGCCAGGGCCGCCGTGGTCGACGGGCGAACTTTACGATACGGGCAGGGCGCAGCACCTGCAAAAGAAATCCCGGCGCGCGAGCGACAGAAAGGCGCAATATATCTTGCTTGATAGCCCCGACCGAATCGCGCGAGGGAGGGTCGTAAAAGAAATTTACCTAGAAGACTTGTGCTGCGCGTTTTCTTTCTTTATTTACTAGGCACGGGACTGGCGCGCACTGGCACTAACACAGGTACACCTGGTAAAGAATTTTACAAAAAAAGTGCAGAAGAGGGGGGGGGGGGTACGAGTTGGCGGGACGAGTTGGAGCGCGAGGCGAGGGCGGCGAATTGGCACAGAGCTCAGAGCCGACCAGTCGATTGCCGTGGGCGTGGCCCGTGGTACTGCGTTCGCTGCCGCTGGCTGCTGCCTGCCGCCGGGCTGCCGCTGGCTGCCGGGCGCCCGCCGCAAATGGAAGACGAGGACTACGTGGTGGCGTCGGCCGCGGGAGCCGCTGGCACACGTCACACGAACGAGGTGCTCGCCCCTCCGCTGCGACGCGGTGAGGCACAGAGAAAGAATGGAGAGCCGAGCGCGCATCGGCGCATTGTGCCATCGCGTTGCGGTCAGGGCCTCGGCGACGGAGAGCGGGGCGGAGGAGGATGAGGCCGGTACCATTTTGTGTAGGAACGTAGGGGCGGAAAACTAACTAGAAAGAAAGCAGACGAACCCATGAGGGATGGGGCGGCGAGAGGAGTAAAAGAATTTCGCCTGGACAACACTCGGCACGGGAGTATTGGAATAATACGTCCTATCATTCACAGCTGCAAGCCCGCCTGAGTGGGCAATCAGTTTTTGCTATCATTCACAACCCGCCTGAGTTCGTGGGGCCGAGCTTTGCTTTGACATCGAGCAGGCTCTGCCCTGGCCCTCGCCCCTGCCCCTCCGCTGGCCAGCGAAAGCGACTCCCGCTCCCATCCCACTCACACGTGCGTCGACGCTGCTTCGTGGGCGCCTGCGCCCCCTCCACTCGTAGACCACACGCCTCTCCCACCGACGCACAAACGCAAGCAAGCAGCGCCCCAACACATGCCCCGCCACTGTCACACACCATCCCCGGCGCAAATTTGGGGCGGCGTCTTCGGCGGCGCGCGCAATGCTTCGGTCTTCCTGGCAGCCGGGATCAATCCATCCACGATCCACCAATCCCGACAATTCGAAAGGATTGACGGCGCTCATCTTCCCACTACGAGAGATTCGCTCTTCTGTCGACGGCCGCCGCCCTTGCTGCCGCCCTCGCCGCCGCCGTCCTCCCCCCTCCCTCCTCACCGCCACCGCTGCAGCCGCCCGGACGCCGCCCGCGCCCCCGCGCCGCCGCTCGTACCGCGGCCTCCGCAGCCTTTACCGCCGCCGCCCTCCGCCGCCCTCCGCAACCCTCCGCCGCCGCCGCCTTCTTCTAGGGACCGCCGCCTCCGCCTGTCCGCCTCCTCTGCCAAACCGCCTCCTCCTCTGCCGTCATTTTCGTTTATCAGCCCCTTCGTCGCCGAGCGTCCTACCGCCCCCTGCTGCCGCGTGTCCATGCCCTCTTGAGCCCGCTCCCCGCACATAGAGCCCTCGCAGGCTCATCGACTTTGTCCCCCGCCCCCTCCCCTCTCATTCCAGACCCCGTACATCTCCACAATGCGCATATAGCTGTTTGTGCATTCCATCATGCAGCGGCCGTGCTGACGCTCACCATGGTCGTCGCAGGTTCATCGATGACGCTCTACATACGCTGGTTTGCTTTGGCGGCCCTCGCGGCCGGGTCGCTCTCTGCGTCGGTGTGCGCGCCCACGCCAGACCCCTCGTGTCGGAATCGCGCATCGCCCAGCGCTCCTCACGCCCCTCGTCAGGTGCAGGACCAAGACGGGGTCGGGGCGACCGATCGCACTCCCATGTTTTCTCCGACCAACCTCATGTTTTCGGGTTTGCCCCCGCCGGACCCCGACCCGCCCAACCCGCCCAAACCATGGGAGTGCCCCGTGCACAAGTTCCCAGAATACGACTTCAAGAAATGCTCCTGCCCTCCTTGCAAGAAAAACGCTGACGGTCGCTGGCACTCGACTGGGAACCCCAGCGGCACCGCCGCCGACCTGCCGTTCCCCCGGGTGCGGAGAGAGTGGCGCGAGCACACCGAGGATGAGATCGACAGGTACGCGTGCGCTCTCAACGTCATGAGCACCATCTCGACCGAGGCTGGACGAAAGTGCTACGGCCGCACGTACGTCTACTTTCCCGACATTGTCATGAAGCACGCGTGCGTTGCATCGGACCCGCGCGGCGACCAGGGCCACCGCGGGCCAGAGTTCATGCTGTTCCACAAGTCGACGTTGCTGACCTACGAGGGGTCGATCCTCGCCATCGACCCGAAAATCGGCGCGATCCCCTGGTGGAACTTGCCGCTGGACAGCGCGCCTGTCCTCAACGTCGACGGGACTGTGAACGTCTCGGCGGGGAAGTACTACTGCCCTAACGCTTCCTCCCTCCCCTTCGGTGTGGGTTCGCCTAACGACGACCCTTCCGTAGCAAACCCGGGCTGTGACCCGGAGAAGTACATCTGGTCGGACACGTACTTCGGCGAGCAGCTCGGGTCCGGCCCGAACTATGAAGTCACGAATGGGCGCTGGCGGTACCGGACGATGTCTCGCTGGGGCGACTTCGACACCACGTACTGGTCGCGGGATGACAAGCACGATGTCAACAACGAGTGCATCGTCAACATGTGGACGAAAGTGCTACGACCAGTGCCCTCGACCGTTGGACGGACCATCATCAACGGCGTCGGCAAGGCCAGTAACATACTGTTTGGCGGGAGCGGGCGATCGCAGCAGGACTCCCTGATCCGGTACACGCAGCACGACTTTGACGCGTGCGCCAACTCCAACAACACGCGCAACTGGATCGAGTGGCAGAACTGCCAGGAGGAGAACGAGTTCGGCACCCTCGAAGGCGTGTACTGCCCGGATGAGAAGGAGACGTGCACGCAGCAAGACCTCAAGAAGGTTTACGCCCTGCACTCGACGACACATGACAAGCTGGGTGAGATTGGTGACGTGACGACCTCGCCGTCGGACCCCGCCCTCTTCTTCTCCTACCACGCCTACATCGACAAGAACTTCATGGCGTGGCAAGAGAGCATGATGGACACTGGGCGGATGACCGACCCTGTCAAAAAGGACCTTGGACATCACGACAAGAGCGACCCGCCGGACCTAACCAACAAGAACTACTTTGGCTACCCGCGCCAGGCAACCCACGAAGAATGGCTGGCCAATGTGGAGGCATTCGAGAAGGTTCCGTTCATCGAGGGGATGGTCGAAGCGTCGAACCAGGGGATGGAACTGAGGGGCTACGTCAAGCCGGTCGAGGATTTCAAACACTTTGACTTGCAGCAGTGGATAGATCTGCTTGGAATTCACCATGTTCACGCTGGCGTCCCCACCGATGATTCCGTGTACGACGGAGACTTGGCGCATCCCAACTTTCTTGGGCCAGCCTGCTCCAGCGCCACCAATGTCCTCTCCCCGGACTTTTGGACTTTGACCAACCCAAGCTTCTCGATGGAGAGCGGAAAGGCGGCTGCGGGGGCTGTTGGCGGCGGAGGAGGCGGCCCCCATCTCTTCAACCCCACCTTCTCGTTGGCGTGCACTTCGCCACAATGGCCGTCCCCCAAGCCTGGATCCCTGACCTACAACCTCACGCAAGGCGCCAGGACGCACTCCACGTTGGGCACTGTTATCTACATGACACAGTACCACGACACAAAGTACCGCCCCGATGGACTTCTCCGCGGCGACCAGGCCGTCCCAACCCTCCCGTGGATCCCAGGGACTCTCCTGCAAGACATCGCCAATGGCGGGATGCCGTTCCGCGACATCTTCCCCGGTTACGACGGAGGCAGGTTTGGGTACTCGAACAAGGAGATCATGGAGTGGGGCATGCCGTGCCGCAATGGCCGTGTGGTCAACGACACAGACAAGCCGTGCTCGCCTTACAGCTACAGCGCTGTGCAAAGGCCGTTTGACGAGATTATGAAATCCGACGCCTACTACACGGACCTCCACAATGGCCGCTACAGCGCTGGGAAGATAATCCCGGTGTGCAACGTGTACAACACGAAGGGCGAGGCGTCCGTGCTGGCCACCCTGGGCAAACCGTGTCCGAACGAATGCGGCGCATGCTGCTGCGGGGAGCCGAACACGCCACCCCCAGCGCTGGACCACGTTTGCCATTTCCCGCGCAGCGAGGATGGCACGGGCGACTGCAGCCTGTACACGCCGCCCTGAGGGCGAATGATCTGACTTCAGTCATCAGGGTGCCGAAAATGCCTTCAATGGCCATACACCCTCCGCCTCGTCCTACAGGAAATTCCATGACGTTCGACGAGTACTAGGATGGCATGTGCGAGCTCGGCGCGGGCATGAGACACAGAGCTGGACCTGATCCTGCATGAAGGACATGATAGAAAGCATGAAGCATTACATACGAAAGAGAGGCTCCACGAAAAAAAGAAATTAGACGCTGTGGCCGCGCCGCCGCGAGCTCAGGCGTCAGGGCCGGAGGGAGGCCCACAAGCCACATATGTTGCCTGTTGGCGCGGTCGGCCAGCATGCTGACGAATAAGGACGTTCTTCTTTTTCGGTTCTTGGTGTCTGTGTGTGAGAAAATTCTTTGTCCTCATGAGGATGTCATGACTCACACTTCACACGCGGACGTGCTCTTCAATCCACCGGCTGCGCTAGAATCGCCACCGCCGAGTGCGAAAAGATACCGCCATTCCCGTACACGAGCGCCCGCCGCACGTCCCCCACCTGCCTCTGGCCGGCGGTGCCCAGCAGCTGGTCGCACGCCTGCCGGGCGCGGGGAGGGTCGGGGCTGGGGCTCTCGCAGCCTGTCTGCGCGGGGAGGGGTCGCGGGGCAGGTGTGTTCGCGCCTCGATGACGTTGTACATGGCGGGCACCTCCCACGGCGCGCCAAAGCCAAGCAAGCCTCCGTGCGTGTTGACAGGCAGAACCTACGGGGTGGTGAGCCAGTGGCGAGCCAAGGACACGTCGGACGCGTCAGATGCGTGCTCTTCTCCTCTCCTCTTCTCCTCTCCTCTTCTCCTCTCCTCCATTCTCTTCTCTTCTCTTCTCTTCTCCTCTTCTCCTCTATGCTGCACCGACGGCTCGTACCCCTCCGCCTGCGTCGCCGCGTGCGCGCGCTCGACCCAGCGGCCGCCCTCCCCCTTGCGCGCAAGGCCGACCGCCTCGAGCGCACGCACGTAGCAGATCGGGAAGCAATCGTACAGGCCGAACCAGTCGATGTCGCTCGGCAAGAGCTGCGCCTCGGAGTAGGCGGAGCCGGCGGCGTGCTCGCAAGAGAAGACCTCGTCGCTGATGCGCGGCGGCGGGTAGAGCGGCCCGCTCGCCTGGTAGTAGCACGCGCAGCCTTCATTCACCATGGCGGCGTAATCAAGGAGAGCGGGCCGCTCTCGCCTCTCCCCCCCCGAGCACGACGACGCCACCCCGCGCGGCAAACGGGCCGAGCTGAGGGGAGGCGACGCCGCTCGGCGAAGAGAGCGCCTACGGCCCCGGACGTGTCGTGGACGTGTCCCGGATGCGGCGTGCGCAGCCAGACTGCGGCCGCGCGTCGTGGCCGAGCGTCGCGTCGATAAAGTTGGAGTCGGCGACGATGAAGGCGGCGCCGCCGTCCGCGCGGCGTGCGCACTCGAGCAGGTTGGTCGCGGGGGCGACCGGGCGCGAGGCGAGCACCTCGTCGAGGCTGAGGGGGGCCTGATCGCCGCTGGAGGCGTGAAGAGGCGCCGTGTCACACTCGCGCCATCGGGCCGAGGCTGAGGCGGCGCCTCGGTGAGGGAGAGCGGGTGGCGCATCGCCTGGCGCGACGCGAGGACCGGCACCATCGCCAGCTGCTCGCGCGTGAGGTCCGACTCCTACAGGGAGGCTCCATCTCTCCGAGGTCTCCTCACGTCGGCTGCTGCCCGCGCGTGGGGTCCGGCTCCTCCATCTGCCACCGCGCCACCCGGTCGTACCCGTGAGGAATCACGGGCGACGGCAGCGAGCCGTCCGGATCGGCGCAGCCCGCGTCCGCGCGGCGGAGGAAGTCGGCCGTCGGCATCGACGAGACCGCGTCTCCCGCCACAACCGCTACCGCATTGCACCGCTCCACCCGAACCATCCGCGCCGCCTCGAGCAGCGCAGAGATGGGACCCGCACCGCCCGTGTCGATGGTGCGCATGCGAACGCCACGGTGCGGCAGCATTCCGGTGGCGGTCGCGAGGGCGTGAGCGTGCATGAAGCGGTGGTGCGAGAGCGACGGCACCGCGACGAGACCATCCAGGTGCTTCATCGAGAGGCCGCTTGCCGAGAGAGCGAGGTGCAGTGCGCTCTCCATGAGCGACGAGGCGGACTGGCCGAGCGCGCCCAGCGGCGTGCAGCCGGTGCCAACGATGCGGACCGTGCGGCGAGGGCGCATCGAACAGAACTCCTGTATTGCCTAGCCTCCCGTCGAGAGACAGTGAGCGCAGCTGAGAGAGGTTGCGACGCGAGCGGCGACGAGTTCGCGCCCCGGCGGAAGCAGCTGGGACTGGCGAGAAAAATCACCTTCGACTGGCGCGCACTGGCACTACACAGGTACACCACGAAAAAAGTGCTCTTGCGTTACGGCGGTAGTGATCTAATCACCCGAATGCCACGTTCGGATCGCTCCTCATCGCAAACCCTGTCAGCAGTTCACCCTCGGGTATGTTCGTAAGCGCTACACACTGAAAAAAGAAATGATCGCCCGCAACGCCATCCCCGCGGGGTGGCGCGAACAGCTTCAGCTTTTCTCGCCCGCTCTGCTGAGGGCGAGGCGCCGAGCTACGGTTCCAACGCTGCAGCACTCTCCCTCTATTCACAGCAGAGATGGCGACGCGTCCTTACGCGCGTCCTCGTCCCCACCTGCTTTGCTTCAACGTGCTGCCATGGAGCCAGCGGCGCCTCGCGCCATGATTCAATCGCCATGGCCGGAGCGCTGTGGATCGCAAAGGCCCATGGGCCGCTGCGCAGGGCGGCACGCGCAGGCGCTACACAGATCAGAGCATTGGCGCCGAGAGCATTCATTTCCGCATTCAGTTGTCGTTGTTCTGTCGGCTCGAACAGCCCGTACAGCCATTCAGCGGCTGGTGGACGGCGCGCAGTCTCCACGCGGATCCGCATCTCGTGCACACCGCAAGGCGCCGCCACCACATGGACCAGCCCGATGGACTGTGTTTGTGGTCGGGGTGGACAGTTTGCTGTTCAGCGTATCATTGAGCAGGATGAGATGAGCGTCTAGTGGTGACGCGGGTAACGGGCGAGGTCCTGGGTGCAGAACCCGCCCTGACTCTGCCGATCCACTGGATGCGACTCAACTGCTGATACCGAACTTGTGCTGGCGGGCAGTGATTTGTGAGCGTATCGTTCAAGATTGGGGTCAGCCCACCCAACGGATGGCCGTTCGGTCGTACGACATTCGACTCGACTGTGGACTCACTCCGTGCCAGTCGTCAGCCGCCAGTTCAACGCTCGCAATGCGGTATGAACGCGGTGTCCGCGGCGGTGAGCTGCGCAGTTGGTCATTGTTCTTCGTTGCAGAGTCTTTTCTCGCATTGCAGCCCACCAAGGCCCATCGACGGCCAGCGCCCAAGGTCTGATTGTGCCCCCGGCTGTGCGTCAGCAGCGGCTTCAGACAGGGCCTGCGCTTGAAGGGGATTTTACATTTACGGGCTCTGCCAGCAATGCGTGGAAGGCGACGCGACGGTTGAAGGGTACTGTCCAGAAGGGCACTGTCGCTCCGGGTCGGGCGACGGTGCCGCAGTGTCGCTCCGGGTCGGGCGACACTGCTCGCGGCGTCCGGGTCCTGCGCCTCCCGACGAGGTCGGACGGCGTGGTATTCCGGCCGCCGCGCCTCGGTGACTGGCTGCCGTAGAAACCAGAAGTACGAGGGCGTTGTCCACCCTAAGATGGACGGAACTCGGAGGGCGTTGTCCACCCTAAGATGGACGGAATTCGGAGGGCGTTGTCCACCCTAAGATGGACGGAATTCGGAGGGCGCTGTCAGGGTCCCCCTCGGGGAGCGACGGCGCCCGACCGTCAGGGTCCCTACGGGGAGCGACGGCTGAAGCGCAAGGGTACTGTCAGGGTCCCTTCAGGGAGCGACGGTGCCCTAATGTCAGGGTCCCCTCTGGGGAGCGACGGTTCGAAGGGCGCTGTCAGGGTCCCCCTCGGGGAGCGACGGCGCCCGACCGTCAGGGTCCCTACGGGGAGCGACGGCTGAAGCGCAAGGGTACTGTCGGGGTCCCCTCGGGGAGCGACGGTGCCCTACTGTCAGGGTCCCCCTCGGGGAGCGACGGTTCGAAGGGTACTGTCAGGGTCCCTTCAGGGAGCGGCGGTGCCGTACTGTCAGGGTCCCTCCGGGGAGCGACGGTTCGAAGGGTACTGTCAGGGTCCCCGCAGGGAGCGATCGTACCGCAGCTGCGGCTAAAGGCCTGCGCTGCCCGCGGCATTCGAATGCGGCGCCTCCCGACTGAGTCGGCTCGCGTCGTATTCCAGCCAGAAGGGCGCTGAGACGAGATCGCGATCTCGGTCATCACGCCATCTAGACTTTAGCGAGGCGTGTGGCGCGCCGGCAGCGCCGCCGCCGTCTAAGGTACTGTCAGGGTCCCTTCGGGGAGCGACGGTGCTGCTGAGCGTCTGCTTGAACTGCTGTCGTCCCGCCAGAGTATATCTCGACTAGCTCTTCATCGAGAAGAGCGTCGACTCGTGCGCCGCCTCGTCGGCGGCGTGGCGGGCGGGCAGCTGGATGTGCTGTCGCCTCGCCATAGGATACCTCGACTAGCTCTCGATCGGCTAGAGCGTCGACTCGTGCGCCGCCTCGTCGGCGGCGTGGCGGGCGGGCGGCCGGATGTGCCGTCGCCTCGCCGGAGTATATCTCGACTCGCTCTACATCGGCTAGAGCGTCGACTCGTGCGCCGCCTCGTCGGCGGCGTGGCGGGCGGGCAGCTGGATCTGCTGTCGCCTCGCCGGAGTATATCTCGACTCGCTCTACATCGGCTAGAGCGTCGACTCGTGCGCCGCCTCGTCGGCGGCGTGGCGGGCGGGCAGCTGGATCTGCTGTCGCCTCGCCGAGTATATCTCGACTCGCTCTACATCGGCTAGAGCGTCGACTTGTGCGCCGCCTCGTCGGCGGCGTGGCGGGCGGGCAGCCGGATGTGCCGTCGCCTCGCCAGAGTATATCTCGACTCACTCTACATGGGCTAGAGCGTCGACTTGTGCGCCGCCTCGTCGGCGGCGTGGCGGGCGGGCGGCTGGATGTGCTGTCGCCTCGCCAGAGTATACCTCGACTAGCTCTCCATCGAGAAGAGCGTCGACTCGAGCGCCGCCTCGTCGGCGGCGTGGCGGGCGGGCGGCTGGATCTGCTGTCGCCTCGCCAGAGTATACCTCGACTAGCTCTCCATCGAGAAGAGCGTCGACTCGTGCGCCGCCTCGTCGGCGGCGTGGCGGGCGGGCAGCTGGATCTGCTGTCGCCTCGCCGGAGTATATCTCGACTAGCTCTACATACTCAAGCCTCGCGAGAGCGGCTCACGCAGGCGCAGCGCCGGCCGGGGAGGCCTCGCAGCTGCCGACACCAGATGCACTGTCGGCGTCGTTCTACGCGGGCCGCTCGTCGACTGATTGACTACGGTTCTCGCGTGGGGGCGCTGTGCTGTGCCGTACCGCTAGCAGCAGACCGCCCCCTCTACTCGGAGCTATAATGAACACGACACGCACTCTCACACGACGTCAACGCTCAGGACCCCTTCGCACGAGGTCCTCATCCTCACTCCGGAGGAGGCTCCCCTCTCCTCTGAGTTCTTCCTCTGCTGAAATCAAATTCTTCTTTTTGGTCTTACCGATGGACGCTTTTTCGCCAATGGACGAGGAGTGCGCCGCTCCATCGCCGACGGAGGCTCCCTGGTGCCTCCTGCTCGCGCCGGATCTCCCCTTTGGCGCGGTGGAATGGTGGCGGCCCCGGCAGCTGGTGCTCCTCCGCTCCACTTGCAAGGCCTTCCGCAGCGGCCAGTCGCACGAGGAGAGCCTCTTCAACGTGCTGACCGCTGGCCTGGGCGCGCCGGAGAAGGTGTGGACCCGCATCACCAATGCGTCCGCGCTATACGACCTCTGCCACCGCCTTTTCGAGGAACGCCTGCTCATCGCGACGCTGCCCAAGGTGGCCGCGGCGGCGGCGGGCCTGTCATCGGCGGACCCGATGGCGCGCCACTGCGCCCTCACAAGTGGCGGCTTCTCGCTCCACCGCTATATGCGCGACGTCGAGGGCCAGATACCAAAGTGGAAGCCGTCGGACTGTGATGTCTTCATTCCCTGCGGCTGCGCGCACGACGCGCCGATCGAGGAGCTAGAGCGGTCGCAGGCTGTGTGGGACTCGGTCCTCGACCACGTCCAAAGCTCGATGCTCTCGCTCTTTCCGGGCGAGCTCGTGCCGGGCATGGTCACGGTGCGCATCTCCATCTCGCATGACGGGTATATGGAAGAGCGTGAGGTTGACCTGACTGCGGCGGAGCGTGGGGCAGCTTTCGCGGAGGGGTACGCGCCGTCCGAGGCAGTCTCGAGCGACGGCGAGGCAGCTCTTGTCACCGACGAGGACGCCCACAGCGACGATGATTACTACTCCTCGCGGCGCAGCGTCACAGTGCGGTACGAGCAGAGGCCCAAGGAACAGACGAAAACGGCCGACAAGTTCCGCGAGCCGCGCAAGCCGAATCGCGGGCACGTCTACTCGATGGCACTACTGCGGCGGGTGGCGCGCTGCGGCCAAGGTGAGCTCGCCCAATACGTCGGCGAGCACACCGGCGCGGCAGAAGATCTCCCGCATGAGTTCATGCCCTTCTGGAGCACCCCCCCGGAGCAGCTCGAGTACCTGTCGAGCCTGCAAGGCACGCTCAAGCGGCTGGACGCGTGCAAGATGCTCGAGCCGGGCCCACACGGCGATACGGCCGGCCTGCCGCGCGCGTACAAAATTGCTCGTGTGGTGCACGTCACGGCTTCTCTCAACAGCTCGGCGACCAGTAAGCGGATCGCCCTCCCGCGTCGCGAGTTTTCGGCCAACGTGTCGAGCGACGATAGGAGGTCGGCGGTTCGTGCCTCCATGGCTGAGAATGCGCTCGACCTCTTCCCCAGGAGCATCAACGTCATTCAGTACCACGGCGCGCCGATCACTGCGCTGCAGCTCACCGGCAGCTTCGACCTCCCGCCGCCCCAGGTCACCGTGTGCGTCGACGCCGGCAGCGCACGCCCGCGCTTCGAGCTGACGCCTCTGGCGGAGGAGGCGCTGCGCTCGCGCGTGCTGCGGCCGCACAAGTACACGTGGGGCGCCTGCTACGTGCCTCCCTCCCTCCGCGACGAGAGGGAGGAGGATGTGGCCATGCCAAAGCATGTGCTGCGCGAGCACGGCCCGGTCTACAATCAGCTGCAGCGCATCGTCAAGTACGTGGAGCGCGGCTTCAGCCTGCCCGACGCGGCGGCGCAGGCCTGACGTCAGAGGCTTGCACACATAGCGCCGCCCCGTATGAAGCCGCGCTCCACGTACTTGACGTGTCGGCGGCGCTGCGTGTGGACGGCGAGAAATCGATCTCTGTGCATTCCCTTGGCCGCGTGGTGCGTTCCGCTTCACCGGCTTCCGCGAGACACCCCCCCGTGTCTCGTTGCTTTACAACCGCGTGTCCGTGTGTTTTCACTCGTGCGTTCTCTTCCTCTCCTTTGAGACACTCGAGACCGTTTTGTCTTTTGATCACGCCTCATGTGCAACCGACATATACACAGTCAGTCACAAAACAACGTGCGGGGATCCCTTTATGGGCAGCAGTTCCGCTGCGGTTCGCTGGTTGCACCCGCCACGCAACAGGAGGCGATCCGTGACCGTCATGCTCCACTGCATGTCTCGAGCCGGCGCACGCAATCCGCCATGTCGGCATCGCTGACGGCGTTCGGGTCGAGGCGCTGCGCGCAGTCGCGGGGGTACTCGCCGCGGTCAGCCTGCCCCTCCATGAGGCGCCGGCACGCGGTCGCCGCCCGCCGCCCGCTCTCCGAGGCCGGGTCTGCCGCGCGCATCTCCTCGAGCGCGGCCGCGAGGTTGGCGCCGTCGACGCGGTTTTCCGTGATTGCAATCGTGGGCGACAAGTTGAGGACGGCGTGCCACCAGCCAGACGGCACGAACATCGTCTCGCCCTCGCGGAGCACGCACTGCTGCGGCCGCTCCTCGGGCGGAAGCGAGCCCAGCACCCGCCCAAAGAATGCGCGCGGCGAGCTGGCGGCGACCCCGGCCGGCAAGCCGGCCAGCCCGGCGGGTACAGGGCCCACCGCTTGCGCCCGGAGAGGAGGGCGTTCCAGGCACTCGTGTTCCACGGGTCGATGTGCCACGCGGACCCGGAGCCGCCCGCCGAGACGAGCGCCCAGCGCGAGTGGACGTGGAACGAGGCCTGCTGTGCCGCCGCGTCCGTCACGTCCGCGCGGCGAGGGAAGCACTGCTGCGTGCGCAGCAGCGACGGCTGGACGAGCGGGACGGGCGAGTAGCCCGCCAGCAGCAGGTGGCGGTAGGCGGTGGACACGTCGTCCAAGTTGACGTACCTATGCCGAGATCACACCAGAGATCGCCCGTCTTCACTACAGATGATGGCGACGGTTGCAGAGCCAGCTGCACTGGTTGTCGAGCGTCTCGCCGTGCGCGAAGGGCCGCACGCCAAAGAACGAGGCCGGGTTAGCTCGCGCGTACGGCGGGAGGGCGTAGGCGCGGCGCATCAGCGATCGCGCGAGCGACTGCCCTGCCCGGTGAGAGACGTCCGTGCTGCCCTCCTCCTCTGCCCAAGCGGCCGCGGGCCAGGCCGCCGTCAGGCCGCTCACGATGACGGGGATGCCCGGCTGGTTGAAGCCTTTCTCAAAGGCGTCGGCCGTGAGGTCCGGCCAGCTGCGCCGCGCTATGTCGCACGGAAGCTGCTCGCTGTCTCCCTCCTCGGCGGCACGCGCCTCGTGGACGGCACTCGGCCACGCAGGAAGCTCCGAGCTGCGCAGCGGCGCGAGGTACTGCTCGGGGCACAGCCCGGAGAGAGCGCCGTCGCAGTGAACGATGAGCTCCGCGAGAACGTCGCGCGCCAGAACACCTGCCTGCCCTGGCACTCCCGAAAGCCAGAAGCGGACTCACCGGGGTGGCAGCGAGTGCCGAGGACTCGGGTCGCGCTCGAGAGGGCCTCGCTCACCCACGTCTGCACTGTCGCGCGGTCCAGCTCATAAGGCGGATCTGCTGCTGCCAGCGCGGCGAGCTCGGCCAAAGGATAGCCAGCGGTTCGGATCGCTGCCGCCCTCGAGTCCGGCCGCACTACGGAGGTATGCGACAGCGTGGTGGAGGCCGCCGGAAGAGGCTGCAAATGCCGAAGCTGCGCTCTGATAGTCGGATGGACCCCAAGACGCAGCGTCAGGCTCCGAAGCGAGGAGAAGATGTGCTAAAGCGCCAATCGCCAGCAGACTCGTGATTTGCGAGGCGCGCATTGTGCCCTCCTCTCGTGCGAAAGAATTGTGCGTCAGAGGACCACGTCAAAAAGTCACATCTCCCACGCAGTAGTTGCTCCCACCGACGCCGCCGAAGCTCACAGGGCTTGCCGCGCGGGTGGGGGGGGCGGCACACAATTTGCCGTGTGTGCTCGCAACAGCAAAGCTCGCTCCTGCTCGCTGTGTGTATGTGTGTGAGTAGGCCTGATTTGAGAGAGAGATTTTTAGCAATACCAAAAAAATAAATTTGGCGCCCTGCACGGTTGGGACGTTTGAACCTAACATCGGATGCCTTACTCCCAAGCAACTGATTTTAGGTTCAAACGCCTCGTTTACTGCATGTCACAGTGAGCTATCCACCCCGACGCATGCGGCTTGCGGGGTCCGTACGTAGAAATTGGGACTTTTACCACACAATGTGCACGCCTGTCTGTCACTCTTACACTTACAAAAGTGTCAGTGACACTGACAGACAAGCACGCGTATTTGTCACTCATGGAAATGATCAAGTGACAGACATATACACACATGGGGCTGTCACTATTACAAAGTGATAGGCATACACGCACAGTTATTCACTCTGGTCTCTGCACGCCGACTCGTTACTCTCGTAGCTGTCACTCTGGTCTCTGCGCGCCGACTCGAGTGACAGACATACACACTCTAATACACGCACGGCTGTCACTTTGACAAAGTGTCAAACACACACGCATAGCTGTCACTCTGCGCGCCGACACGAGTGACAGACAGACACGCACGGCTGTCACCCTGATCAAAGTGACAGAGATGCACACATAGCTATGACGTTTAGTCATTTATCACGCCGCGAGCATTAGCCGATGAGAGACTAGGAAGCACCAGTGAGAGCGACAGCTGTACCACGGACGTGGATCTCGGCGATCTCGGTCACAAGTGTCCAGCAGAGTCATCGCAAGGAAATGCGAGGCAGTTGAGGTCCCGGGTCGAGAGGGAAAGTCACGTTTCAACAGTTAGATTTCCCCACCTTGTTGTTGCAAGCGCACTGGCCGCTACGATTTTGCATGACAGGTGGGCATTCGTCACAGGAGACGTGGTGCATGCACCATTCGTGGCAGAGCACCAGTTCCGCGGGGCGGCTCGGGACTTGGTAGACAACACTATCAAAACTTTCCTTCCTCGCTGCAGCACACACTCCACTTTCAGTGATGCCAGTCGCAGCCGCGAGGGTGGGCACGCGTCATCGTCACATTCCGATGGTAGCGGTTCGCGTCAGTACATGGACGCAGCGTTCGCTGCACCTCGCTCGTGTTCACCGTCGCCTTGAGCCATGAGTACAATTGTGCCTTGTTCTCGAAGCGTTTGCTCCTCCCTGGATCGACGAAGACTCCTGTCCCCAATTTCACGTAGAACCAGCACCCGTAGCCACCTCCATCGCAGCCGATCCGGAATTGTGCAAGACTTCTCGCGGGAAGGCGGTACACCTCCACGAGCTGATTGGGCGGTAGAGGATCACTACTGGCAGCTTCCACGTCATGGCTCAGTGCCGGTGTGACTTTCGTGCCGAGATTGGCCTGTGTTTGTGCGTGCGCCTGAGGTGATGGCAGCGGCGGTGGTGGAGCCCTGGGGAAACCCTCGCCACTGCTGCTGCGATGCTCAACGCCGTCACCTCGGATGTAGTTGCTGCTGCCCCGCAGGATGCAGGCCACGTCCGCCCGTGATTCGCAGACCCGACCCGTACGCAAAATAGCGGGCATGCAGCACTCGCGTGGCCCGCCGGGGCGACCGGAGCAGCCATGTCCGCCGCACAGCCCGCACGTGGCGTTGCAGCAGACCTGGCGGCTTGGGTGCACGACGCCGGCCGAGCAGTCGGCGAATCGACGAGAGGAGGCCGTGTGCTCCACGGGCCTGATGGTGAGGTTGAGACGGTGGTGGATTACCAGGCGGGGGAGGCGACCGGTGCCGTGCAGTCGTCGCCTCGTGGTCGTTGTGGCCGTGGCCTCGGTTGCTTGCGCATTGCTGCCGTTTCGTTGCTCTCCCTGCTCCACGCCCATAGGCAGAGGCGAGGTCGTCGCATGGTCCGGTGCACGTGCTCGAGCTTGAGCGATGAACATCCAAGCCGGGCAGATGCACGCTCGATCGGCAAAACATGCTTTTGGTTGCATGAACTATATGAGAATGAGCCACAGCAGTGGATGAGAATCGGCCGACAGCAGTGAATGTACGTTGGCCGCATGTCCAAAGGTGCCATCAGGAAGGAGCTTGAGGAGGAGCCGCTCGTCGAGCGGGACGGCGAGGACAGCTGTGGCAATTGCTGTGACTCAGCGCAAGGCGATGCGGCGCTGCCAAGTACTGCCGGCCCGCCGTCACCAAACACACACCATACATCAGCAAAGAACAAACCGTCGCCGCACGCCACGAGGCTCAAGTGGACCAGCTTGGCGCTGCTCGTCGTGCAGAACAGCAGCCTTTTCGTCGTCACACGCTTCTCACGAGACGTCGGGCCGAACGAGCCGCTCTACCTGGGATGTGTTGTTCTGATTTGTGCACCGCCGGTGTCTCAACAGAATTTTACAAGAAAGCTCCCTCTGTAAAATGGGCACGGGGCGCGGGACTGGTGGCACTAATCGATCGATGGCACTAATACAACAGAATCGGATGCAAGACCTCGAGAGCGCGTTATGCGGATGGACGGACGACGTCTGAGCGGTGTGCTCGATGCAGACTGACGGCGAGCCGCCCATCACTGTGGTGGAGGCTGACGGCGAGCCGCCCGTCACTGTGGTGGAGGCTAACGGCGACGAACCGCCCGTCACTGTGGTTGAGGTCGTCGCCGTGGAGGTGCTCGCTCCGGCAGGCGCCGTGGAGGTGCTCGCAACGGCCGATGCCGTGCCCGTGGAGGTGCTCGCTCCGGCAGGCGCCGTGGAGGTGCTCGGCAGCAGCAGCGAGGCTGTGTCGGCGGCCACGAGCGACGCTTGCGTGTGCTCCGAGTGCAAGAAGGTGCACCCCCAGTCGAGCTTTTCGAAAACCCAGTGGAGCAAGCCAGTGGAACAGAGGCGGTGCAAGTCCTGCATTGGTCCCCCACCCCCAACAAAGGTTGAAGTGAAGCGCATGGCTCGTGAGCAGGACAGTCAGCACTGCCAGGAGCTGGAAAGTGGATGCTACTCGATGGCACCGCCGTGCTGCTGCTTCCGATGCTCTTGGTTGCAATTCGACGAGAGCAAAACCCGATTTACCGAAGGCCCAACGTTGACTCACTGCTGCTGCTGCTGGCCTTCTTGTGGTACCTACGAGTACGTTCGAATGGAGCAGCCAGGTGTTGCGAGAGATATGCCGCCGCAGTTTGAGCTCACCGAAGAAGATTGTTGCTGCGGACTGGAAGGAAGGCTCGGATGGCCGCCTCTCCCCACCCGATGGTGCTGACGGTGAGCGTCTCGGGCGCCTCGCCACCCGCCTTTGCGGTAGACGGTCGCGAAGTCGGTTGGTAAATTCCCACACAATGCGCGTTTGTTATCTCTTTGTTGTAGCCCCCTTTTTGGAAGTAATTAATGATCCATGCGCATTGACCATTTTGTTTCAGAGAGAGAGAGAGAGAGATAGTAAGAGGGAGAGAGAGAGAGAGAGAGAGAGAGAGAGAGAGAGAGAGAGAGAGAGAGAGAGAGAGAGAGAGAGAGAGAGAGAGAGAGAGAGAGAGAGAGAGAGAGAGAGAGAGAGATTTTTAGCAATACCAACCAACTCTAACACTCACACGTCATTTGGGGCCTGGAGCCCTGTTCACGCGCGCGTTTTGTTGTTTCAAGACTCTTGCTTGTGTTTCACCGTTTAGCTTTTACCTTTTTGCCTTTTCACTTAGCAGTGAAGACAATCAAAGCAGAAACTAGCGCAGACGAGAGCAGGGGGCCCGGGGACTGGGAGCCGGAGCAGCATACCCGGAGGTAGGCGCACCGTGGCTATCGACCTGGGCAGGTTTTTCATAATTTTTATTTGCTTCCTGAAAATGTCGTTGGCCCGAAGCTGCAGTGCCGTCGCGGCTCGCCGCGGCTGCGGCTGCGGCGTCGCCCGCCTCGGCCGCCGAGCATTCTCGGCGTCGAGGGACGAGCCGGACGGCGCGGCGGCCGCCGAAGTCAGCAGAGCCGAGTACGAGTCGGACGCGTGGCCGGATGGGACGCCGAAGCGGTGGCGCGGACGCGACGCGTGGAAGAACTACATCGACTTTGACAGCCCGCACAGGACCCAGTCGGACGAGCTGAATCGGCAGCGAATCTACTTCTTCCACATCGACGCGCGAGGCCGGCTGTGGCGCAAGGAGCTGCACAAGCCGGACGGACACGATGGACAGATGCGTGACCCGCGGATGCTCGACTTCTTTTTTGGGCACATGCAGCGCAACACGACGGGGATGCACGAGGATCGGTACCCGTACCTCTCGCGGCGCGCGCACGAGCGCTACTTCGCCTCCTGCGACGAGGCGCCAATCATCTTCAACGACCTGCGAGATGGCGAGCGTCGCTCCTGCTGCGGGGCGACACGGGCACGTCCATGACACGTCCATGACACGTCCGTGTCGTCTCCCTCAGGCGAGCTGCGCTTCCTCTGCCCGGACGGCGCGCTTGCCCGCTCCATCTCGACGCCGTTTGCGCCGAGCGAGCTCCGCATCGCGTCGGATGGCAAGCTGCTGCACCCCGTCGTCACTGCGGCGGTGGACGAGGTCGGGGAGAGGCCGCGGGGGGAGCGGCTGATGGCGCTCATCGAGTCGGGCACCGCGAGTCGGCTGCTCGAGAGCTGCGAGGAGCAAGGCGAGGCCATCGTGCTGACTTGGCGAGGCGAGGAGACGGTGCTACTGCCGCTCGACTCCGAGACATAGTCGCGGCCTCTTGAGAAATTTGCCCTTGCCTCGTTGCCTCCGCCGCGATCCGGCGTCTCAACATCAGAGCGAGTGTGTTAGTAAGCGTGAACCTATCGGGGCGCGCGCATCTGCTTAATAAATAAATACATACCTTCTCCTGGAAAAGTTTATTAGTATCACCCCGCTACCGCGCGCCGCCCAGACCCCAGTACGTGCTCCGCAGCTGAGCCCACGCACCCCACAGTAGCTCAGGGACACAATAAGCTCGTATACAAGTGCTGGTACGCACAGCTCGACGCGTACTCGAATGCTGCCACTGTCATTCTAGCCGGCGAGTGGCGGCGTCACAGCGTCGACTCTCGCATCGCGATGAGACGCACTGCTTGCCCAGACGCGCGCCTTGTCGCGCTCCTGTGGTGCAGGAGGAAGGCCAGCGGTTGTGCTGCGCAGGCCCGGCCGTCTGGCTGAAGGAAGCAGCAGCTGGCGCTCAACAGCAGCGCTGTCGAGCAGCGCAGCCACACCACACTCCCGCCAAGACACGTGTCATTTCGCGCCAAGATTTGGCGCCAAAATGGCACTTTAGTGTCCACCTAGCCACGTGGTCGCGGCCTGAAGCTCCAAGCTTCTGGGACTGAGGTGCACACATCGAGGACTCCATTTGTGTGCAGGCGGCACCCTTCCGATCGTTCGCCGATATCCGAAACCGGGGTCGTACTAAATAACTTTTCCAGGAGAAGGTAGCTCATAGGGAAACGGACACACCAAACAAGGGGTGGGAGAAGGACAGGGTCCCCACCTGCGCGAGCAGGATCTTGTAAGGACGATCAGGGACACAGGGGAACGGGAGCGGGGAGGCGGCAGTTGCAGCGGTCCCTCTTTCTTTTATCCCGACCTAGGTAGCTGACCCTGTCGACCCTCTTCCAGATAGATGAGGGTGCACCTCGTTCGGCACGGCGAGGTGCACAACCCGCGCTCCGTGATGTACGGCCGGCTCCCGCGCTTCCGCCTCAGCGCTCACGGCGTCCGGCAGGCCGAGGAGGCAGCCGCACATCTCGCGAGCCGCCAGCTTGCACTGATCCTCTGCTCACCGATGCTGCGCGCGCGGACGACGGCGCGGGAGCTGCAGCGGGGGCAGGCGAGGGCGCACCGGCAGCCGCAGGGTCCGCCGCTTCGCCAAGAGGCGGCGCTACTGGAGGTGCACACGCCGCACGACGGCAAGCCCCTCAGCACATTTGCCGGGCGGTGGCACACTCTGTACGATGACGTTCCCGAGGGCTACGAGACCTTCGAGGCCGTCGCGTCGCGGTTGCGCAGCCTGCTCGCGCGGCTCGCCGCCGACTTCGGTGAGGACGCCGAGGTCGCCTGCGTGACGCACGGCGACGTCGTCTTCTCGGCGCGGCTTCTCGCGGAAGGTCTGCCGACGACTCTCGCGTCCAAGAAGCGGGAGGACGCGCGGCTCTACCCGGCCACCGCCTCCATCGTCTCGCTCGACGTTGACGCTGACGGCAGCGTGCGCGGCGGCGCGTACTGGGCTCCCACCCGCGCGCCCGACCGTTTCACCGAGACGCAGGCGCAGGCTCCGGCGCTCTGCGGGGCGGCGGCGGCTGAGGAGGGCGGGGGAGGCGGCGGTGAGACGCCCGCGCGGAAGGCGAAGAGGAGCCGCAGAGGGGTTTCGTGACACCACCCCGCGCAGTCCCATGCGAACGTATCATGCGGCGAGAACACCCGTGCGCGAGGCCGAGGGGTAACGGCGGGTAAGAGTCTCGCAGGTACGGTATATATCGAATATCGTCAGTTGAACCTAGACGACGTCCCGGTGCACGTACGCAAAAAGGAGGGAGGCACTACGGGGGATGAGAGCCCGGCTACCGATGAGAGCCCGCACGCCACACACCTCCCGCTCCCCTGTGCGCTGTGGCGCTGTGCACAGAGAGGAGCCTCTCCTCTCGCGTCGCTCTCGCGCGGGGGGGTCGACCGGGGAGATGGCTGGCGTCCGCGCCGCCGCCGCCGAACCCGGCTCGCCTCGCGACGAGAGCGCCACTGCCAAGGCCTACTAGGAGAGGAAGACACGCACCGCCCGATTCACGGGAGCTCGGCACATCGGGCAGTACTGGAGCTGATCAATACAGCTGGCACAAGCGCAGTAGTGGCCACAGGGGACTAGCACGTGAGAGCTCGGCTTGTCGAGACAGATGACACACTCGAGGCCGGGATGGTCGGACGGAACTGCCGTGCCATGCCTGTCAGGAATCGATTCATTGACGGGCTCCCTGGTCTCATCAACGCCGTGGCTCCCTCGACAGCGCCTCGAGCGCCTTTGCGGGACCTTGTACCGCACCGGCCGGCGTTGCGTCGCCGAGTCGAGGGCATGAGAGGCCAAACGAGCGCCCCCTACGTTGTCGGCGGCGTCCTCGCCTGACGTAGGAGAGCGAGCGGTTGTCATCGCTTGCTCCACATTGCTGCGCCTGGACCTCGCGAACTCGATTTGGCGAGGCGGAAGGGCCTTCATCAGTGCCAAGTACCTCCCCTTCCCCTCGCCGTACGAAACGTGTAGAACCTGGAACGGAAAATTCCAACGTTGAGCAGAATTGAAAGCGGAAGCAGCTGCGTGCAACAAGTAGCGCTCCGAGCTGTTCAACGACGATGGCAGCTCCATATGCGAGCGCCGACTGCGGGCGAATTTGAGAATCTGCTCACGCGCATACCGCATCGGCGGCTCGTCGCCATCACGGCTCAGGGGGTGGCGCGTAGGAAAGGCACCTTCGAAACCGCCGCCCTGAGGCGCCGCAGCCTTCTCCATCGTGCGCGCAGCCCGACGACAGGGCTTCTCCGTAAGCCGCACCAACAGCTCGCCCTTTCTCATGTAGCTCGCGGCCGATGTGGGCGGACAAGACGGCACGTCGGGCACTTGCTGCGTCGCCGGCGCTGTCGGCCACGCCTCGCCTTGGATGTCTGCAGTCGGCACATCCAGCTCAATCAAGCGCTCGATGGCGCCGAGCCGCTCTTCCAGGCTTCCCTCGCCTGACACACCTAGGTCCGTTTCCAGCTGATCGATCCGTTGCGCGAGGTGCGCTCCGTCGGCAAGAGGCTCGCTCCCCACCGCTTCCTCACACCTCGCCACCCGCCGAGTGGCGCACGTGCTCTCCAAAGGAGCGACAATGCAGCGCCCAGCAACCTCCTCCTCAAGCGCGGCGGCAACCTCCTCCTCGAGGGTCAGGTCGGTATTCCTCTTATCGACCGCAGACAGCGTAAAGCCCTCGAGTGCCGCGAGTACCTCCTCATCTAGGCGCAGCATATGTGCATTCGAGGTGCTCGTGTTTAGCTCCCCCACGCGTTCCCGCCATCCATGATATTCGGTGGCATGCGCAGAAAAAGAGCGCTCCTGTGCTTAAAATCCCTGTGTGGTGGCGGCGTGCCGTCCTCCATCCCTCCCTTGGATTGTCTGTTTTCTTTCTTTCTTTCTTTCGCCGTCCGACTGTAGGACTAGCACACCTCTGTCAAGAGTCCCCAGAAACCCGAGGAATCACACCGTCGTCGTCGTCGTGGCCGCGGCGGCGTTTGCCGCTGACCACAGTCGCCGGCTCGCGCTCACGGCCTGACATGCCAGTCAGGCATCTGCTTGCACCGGCCCTCCTGCACTGCCGCACTCCACTTGGCAACCCAGCCGGGCAGCATCTCTGCCGCACGCCGCTTTGGCTTGCGCAAGACCAACACGGGCTGATGCTGCCAGTCCCAATATTCGCCGCCCGGGTGTCTGCTCCGTCCCCAGTCGCCGCGCGGCGCAAAGCCGCGGCGCATCACTCGGCCGGTGCGCCCGTACCAGAGGGTCGGCGTCTCGTTTGCCCGCTCGAGGCCTCCCCTCACCACATGACCGTCCCAAACACGGGCGACGAGCTCAAAGTCGCGGATGAGAAGCGGCAGACGGGTCGGGCCGTAGAGCCGGTGGCCGTTTACGATGGTGGCGTCGGTGTCCGAGGTGGGGACACCGAGCAGCAGCACACCACCGGGCCGCAGCTGGAGCCACACCTCCCGCATCGCAGCCAGGTCGCCGTCGGGGTCAAGGGGGTCGTGATACCGGCCGAGGCCATCATGCTCGATTCCGGAGAAGGAGACGATGAGGTCAAAGGCTGATCCGCGGGAGCAGTAGTGGCTGCACGCCTGGCCTAGCTCCATCGCCATCAGGCGGTCTCCCCGCGCATCGATGCGAGGCGCGTTATAGTCGACCGTCAACACGCGGCGAGCCACGCCGTTGCGAAGGAGTGCCGACTCGAGCCACGGAGAGATGGATGACCACACAGCCGTGCGGGGCTGCGTCGCACCCAACGCGGCCACCTGCGTCAATGCGAGCAGAACGTCCTCGGCCGCGTGTGGGTAGTCGGGCGGTGATACGGACTGGCCCTGCTCCAGCCGGCGATCGAGGGCGGCGAGCAGCGCCTCTGTCCACACAGGCCGCCCGCTATCCCATCCGACGAGGCCGTGTGTCCCCACCGACAACTGCCCGGGGTGCACTGTGGCCCGTTGCACCTTGCCGTCGGAGCGAGGTTGGTGTGGCGTGCTGTTACTGCAAGGCCTCACCGTCGACCGAAGGGATGCCCAGAGGAGCTGGCGGCAGATCTGCTCGTCACTCATCTCTCTCTCTCTCTCTCTCCCATGCTGGGTCGTCAAGCCACCAGAACGGCGGTTTCAGGGGACGCGCGGCCGACTGGTCTGAAGTTGGAGAAAAGTTGTAATTGTGCTCTCTTAAGAAAGAATTTACTTATTAAGAAAACGGACAACCCAAGGGAGGGATGGGAGGACGGCTCTCTTAAAGAAAGAAAGAAAGAAAACAGACAACCCCAGGGAGGGATGGGAGGACGGCACGCCGCCACCACACAGGGAACGGCTCTCTTTGCAAGAGTAGACTGAAGTTGGAGAAAAGTTGTAATTGTGTTTAAAAAGAAAGAAAGAAAACGGACAACCCAAGGGAGGGATGGGAAAAGAAAGAAAGAAAACAGACACGCCAAACGAGGGATGGGACGAGGACAGGGTCCACACCTGCACAGCAGGATTTTGGAAGGACGATCAGGGGGACAGGTGGGGCTCTCCTGCTCCTGACAAGGGTCACGACAGGCTCGCAGCGCGGTGCGCGGTGGACTCCCACATCCACTGGCGGTCTCATCTCAGAGCGACCTGCCTCCAGCTTGTCGCTGGCAGTCTCTCCTACCACAGGCACACTGACACAGGGGTGGCAGGGGCGGCGGCAGGAGCTCTCGGCAAGCAGGGTTTCTTTCTTTCTTGCGCGTGCCTCTACAGCCCCGACTGCATCCGCAACCATGCTGATCACGAAGAAGAACCGCCTCGCGATCCTCTCCTACCTCTTCAAGGGTGTGCACTCGCCCGCCTGGTCGCCCGGCCTCCTCCGCTGCCGCTACCACTGCCGCGGTCCGGCCCTGCTGCAGCGACGCTCGTGCGCTCCACCTTTGCGCGTGCGTCACAGCTGGCAGCTCAGCCCACACGTCCTGCCGCCCGTAGCCCACCGCCTGCCGCTCACACTAGCTGGCCCTCGCTCGCAGAGGGCGTGATCGTCGCCGAGAAGACGACCGGCCACACTGACCGCAATGCCCTCATGCTCCACCCGGACATCATGGGCGTCTCAACCTCATTTTGCGAGGATGGCGCCGTCAAGACGTCGCCGCAGCGCGTGCGCAACCTCGAGGTGCGAGATGGGGAAAGATGTAGGGAGATGTGGGGCGGACTGCGCGCGGTGGGATCCGCGTGAGCCGGGCACATGCAGAGGCACACAGGCGGGGCACACATAGCAGCACACAGACATGCATCTCTCCGCGCGTCTCAAGTCGCGTATCCTTGCTTAGGTGATCAAGCTGATGCAGTCGCTCACCTCGAAGGAGCTCGTCACCGAGCGCTTCGCCTGGAAGCACTACTACTGGTTCCTCAAGGGAGAGGGGCATCGGGGGACCTTGCGGGAAGGAGCTCACCCCCCCACCCCCGGCGGGAGCTTTGGAAAAAGCCCCCCCCCCCCCCCCCTCCGCGCCCGCCGGCTCCTTTCCTCGCCCTATCCACCCCACCCCCGCCTCGCAAAGGTACCTCCACATCCCCGAGGACGTCGTCCCAAACACGCTCAAGAAGTCGACCAAGCCCGCGGCGCCGGAGCGCCCGGGTGGAGACCGCGATGGCGAGCGCGGACCGCCGCGTGGCGACCGCGATGGCTACCGCCGCGGCCCGCCCGGCGGCGAGGGGGGATACCGCGGCTTTGGCCGTGGCGGCGGCGCCCCGCGCCCGCCTGCCTAGGCAGGCGCGTCCGCGTCCGATTCGGGAGTCTTGGCGGAACAACCACCACCCGCTCGAGTGTTTGGTTCTCTCACTAGCCCGCTGCTGTACCGCCCAACGTGGGTGTAGGCCACCCCTTTCGAGGAGTGTGCTGTTCGCTCGTTGGTCGGGCGGGGCCGCGCTTGAGCGTGTTGGGTGGTGTGCGTTTTGTTTGCAGTCTCCCGCTTGAGCACTTGGAGCACTTGGAGTGCGGTCATCGGCCGCACCCCACCCGGGGAGCTAACCACGATCGAAGAAGTAGTCATCCCCTACCGTAAAAGAAGCTGTTGTGAAATTTTGTGGTGCGGTTCGGCCTTGGCAGCGACGGCCGCGCGCGATGGCCGACGGCTACCCGCCCTATCGCTGCCCCGGCCACAACCAGCCGTGCGCGGTGAAAATCACCAACAACGGGGGCCCGAACAACGGCCGGCCATTCTACGCCTGCTCGCAGTCACCGAAGTGTAAGCACTGGTTCCAGTGGGCTGATGAGCGGCACAAGCAGCCGAGAGGCCGCACGCAGGCAGTGGTCATCGGCAGCGACGTCCGCCTCTCTATCGTGCGCGACGGTGGACAGCTGCGGCTCAAGGTGGCCTTCGAGTACGACGAGGGCCTCATCATTCTCTGCCGCGAGTTTCGCGGGTACTACAAACCCGAGCTCTCCGCGTGGCTGCTGCCGATCCAGCACAAGGAAGACGTAGAGCGCCGCCTGGCGCAGCTCAAGGAGACGGGCGCCGTCCGCTCGATCCAATCGGAAGCATCCGCAGCGTCCACGCCGGAGCGGGCGGCGGCGGGGGCGGCGGCGTCCTCTGCCCCGTCAACGCCACAGCGGGCGACGCCGCCGCTCCTCCGCCTGCCACCCACCCTCGCCGAGGGGCTGATGCCGCACCAGCGCGAGGCGGTCGAGTTTGTGGTGGGAAACCGCCTTCGCGGGCTCGTCGCCGACGACATGGGGCTCGGCAAGACTGTGACCGCGATCGGCGTCCTCGCTCACGCGGACGTGTGGCCTGCGCTCGTGCTGTGCCCCTCGAGCGTCAAGTACAACTGGCGAGCCGAGCTGCTGCGCTGGCTCCCAGAGCAGCTCTCGCCCGCAAAGGTGCAGGTGGTGGACAAGGGTGAGGACTCGCTCTCCGCCGACGCGTCGGTGGTCATCGCGACGTATGATGGCGCTCGCGCACGAGCCCAACGCACGGGCGAGCTCAACCGCTTCCGCGCGATCGTCTGCGACGAGTCGCACAACCTCAAGTCGCCAGAGGTGAACACTCCGCCGCCCGCCATGGCACCGTCGCCTCTCTTCCGCCCTCGCACCGCCGCCTCTCTCCCGCCCTCGCACCGCCGCCTCTCTGTCGCCCTCGCACCGCCGCCTCTCTTCCGCCCTCGCACCGCCGCCTCTCTTCCCCGCACCGCCGCTGGCCTCCCACCGGCGCGCCCCCGTGCGTGGCAGGCGCAGCGGACCAGGGCGCTGCTCCCTCTCGTGCGCCGGGCCGTCGCCGCCGTCCTCCTCTCCGGCACTCCGGCGCTCTCTCGCCCGTACGAGCTGTGGACGCAGGCGAGCGCCATCGCGCCGACAGTCTTCCCGCCGGGCGGGCTCGAGGAGTTCGGCAACACGTATTGTGGCGGCCGCGACGACTTCAACAAGTTCTCGGGCGCGACCAACTTGGGCGAGCTCGAGGAGAAGCTGCGGAGGCACGTGATGGTCCGGCGCACCAAGGACGTGATGCTCCGCTCGCTTCCGCCCAAGATCCGGAGCCGAGTGCGCATCGACGGCGAGGGCGGCGAGGGCGGCGAGGGCGGCGAGGGCGGCGAGGGCGGCGAGGGCGGCGAGGGGGGTAGCGAGCAGGCGCGGCTCAAGGAGAAGCTGAACTTGCGGAGGCGGCTCGACCGGTTGCTCGAGACGGTGGGGCACGATGAGGTGGTCGAGTGGGAGGGCGAGCGCTGCTCGAGGGAGCAGCTGCAGAACATTCAGCGGAACATGACGACCGAGCTGTACAGGCTCACCGGCGACGCGAAGCGGGCGCGCTGTCGCCTCCAGAGACCCTTCCGAGGCCCTTCCGACACCCCTCCGTTCTCCTGCAGGCGCGCGCCGTCGCCCACGTGACGAGGTGGCTGGACGAGCACGCCGATGACGAGAAGGTGCTGGTCTTCGCGCACCACGCGCCGATGCTCGACGCGATGCGCGACGCCCTCAAGAGGCGCGGAGTCTTGCTGATGCCTCGTCTCGGAGCCTCCCCTGTGACCTGCTCGGAGCCTTCCCATGATAGGCGCGGGGTCTCGCTGATGCGCATCGACGGCACCACCAGCGCGAAGAAGAGGATGGACCTCGTGCAGGCCTTCCAGGACACACGCGCGCCGGGCTCGCCGCGCGTGGCCCTCCTCTCCATCAACGCGGCCGGGGTTGGCATCACGCTCACCGCCGCCCACCACGTGATCTTTGCGGAGCTCAGCTGGACGCCCGGCGTGCTGGAGCAGTGCGTCGACCGAGTCCACCGGCTCGGGCAGAGGGCGGCCTCCGTCGAGATCGCCTACCTCGTCTACGGCCCCTTCGACGACGAGATGTGGTTCAGGCTCAAGGCAAAGCAGCGCGTGCTCGACGAGAGCGGCGTCGGAGCGCAGCAGCACGCGGGACTCCAGCCGTCGCCGCCCGCCGCGAGGCCGTCTTCCACGCCTGCCCCCGACCTCTCGCTTGCCGCTGCCACTGCCAGCGGCGGCGGCGCCTCCAGCGCGCGCGCACCGTTCAGCGGCGCAGGGAACCGGCTCGGCGGCGGCGGCGGCGGCGGCGGCAGCAGCGGCGGCGGCAGCGGCAGCGGCGGTGGCAGCAGTGGCGCGGCGTGCTACCGCAACAACCCGGCGCACCTCCAGCGGCACTCCCACCAGACGGTAGACTTGACGGAGGAGGACACAGTGACGGCGGACAAGCGGCAACGTCTCGACGACGGCCGCAGTGGAGCGGGCGTGGGCGCCTCGAACCGCGGTGAGAGCAGCAGCAGCGGAGCGGTCGGCTTGGATTTGTCGGGCGACGGCGACGCGCTGCTGGCTAATGGTGCCTCTGTGCGCATTCACGGCCTCGTCAATACCGGCGTGAAGTACAATGGGCGTCGCGGCGAGGTGGTGGAGTTCATCCGCGACAGAGGGCGGTACCTCGTCCGCGTTCGCAAGGGTGAGGAGACGGAGGAGGTCTCGCTCAAGCGCGAGAACCTCACAGCGAGGTGAGGGGCTTGGGCAGGCCTGTACATTTGTACATTTCATGTGCCGCAATTGGGTGTGAGTTCGCCGACTTTCTTCAAACATGCCCGCAGCCTTAGTTCGGCTGCTTATGTATGTATCGAAGGTGAAGAACAGCCAGGCTCGGACTGGACACCAACGCGGTACGGCCGACTACACGGTGAGCCATACGGACCTTGCAGTACGTCAGGGGCGGGGAACCCGCAATTTGAAATGCTCCGGCATCTCAAATTGCCCGATACGATCTCCATTTTAATTGAGATTGCCTCGAGCATCCCAAGATGCATGAAGCAATTCAGGATGCGCGCGCATCCTACGCACGAGCGACACACAGACACAAACAGGCTCACACACAGCCAGCTGGCTGCCACACACCCTGAGTTGGCGTACACATAACTCAGGGCCACATCCTCCCTGTCGCCCCCCCCAGCACTCCAAGGTGCCAAGAGAACAAACAAGGGCACAACAAACAACAGACGACAGCAAGTAACATGCGGAGACTAGAGCAGGCTTGTGGCTTGCTCAACCTCTAGCAATCTAGCCAGCCGCAAGGCCGGACAAGACCGGGTGCGGGGTCGTGTGAGGTGTCTATGGACGCCCTGCTCACAGGCTAGCGGCCTACCGCTAGCCCTAACTCGCACTCATGGGTGACGACAGTTCATTGCACATTGGATGAGTGGTTGCGAGCAGAGGCGCGTGTGCTGAATCTAGATCGCACGCCGTGGCATATGTCAGCTAGAAGTTTGCCAGTAGAGCGATCCTGGTACACACAGGGATTTTAATCTCGGCGTTTTTCTTTCTTTCATCGGCCTGGGAGAGGTTGAGCCGTCGCCGTTCTGAGTCGCCTACGCGCCGCAACAGGGAGAGGCAAGACCGTCGCGATGACTCGCGCGACCGCCGCCGCGACAGCGGCCACAGCAGCCGCCACAGAGACCACTCGCGCGATCGCCGCCGCGACAGCGACCGCGGCCGCGGCCACAGAGACCGCGGCGGCGACAGTGAACTTAGCAGAGGCAGAGGCCGCTCGCGTTCGCGCTCGCGCGACCGACGCCGTGATGCCGACGCCGCGATGCCGCCGCCGCCACCACGCGACCGCGGCGATTATCATGGCCGCCCCGAGCGCACATCGAGCCTCTCTGCACGCATTGCGGATGACGAGCCGCCGACGGTGTGCGTCTCTGCCCCCTCTACGTTGCGAGATTGTCCTCAAGCAGCGCAGTACAGCTTCTCCGCCAGCGAGAGTGCATGTTTGATGGCAATTAGTCACCGTGAACAAGTGGTTGAGACGCAGCAGCAGCACGGTGCCGAGGTCAACCTGCAGAACAGCGACGGCGACACCGCGCTGATGCACGCTGCCACCAAAGGCCACGAGCGGGTGGTCGAGCTGCTGCTCCAGCGTGGCGCGGAGATCAACGAGCAGAACAGCGCCGGCAGCACCGCGCTGATAGGCTCCGCCTTCGACGGCCACGAGCGAGTCGTCGACATGCTGCTTCAGCACAGCGCGGGGGTCGACATGCAGGATAGCGACGGCGACACCGCGCTGATGGGCGCCGCCCACTACGGCCACGAGCGGGTGGTCGAGCTGCTGCTGCGGCGCGGCGCGGATCCCAACCTGCAGAAGAGCGACGGCTGGACCGCGCTGATGCACGCCGCCGACAAGGGCCACGAGCGGGTGGTAGAGCTGCTGCTGCAACACGGCGCGGACGCCAACCTGCAGAGGAGCAGCGGCGGCACCGCGCTGATGAACGCCGCTGGCAACGGCCACGACCGGGTGATCGAGCTGCTGCTGCAGCGCGGCGCGGAGATCGACGTGCAGAAGAGCGACGGCGTCACCGCGCTGATGGTCGCCGCCACCACCGGCCACAAACAAGTGGTCAATCTGCTGCTTCGGCACGGCGCGGAGATCAACAAGCAGAACAGCAGCGGCGACACCGCACTGATAGGCGCCGCCTGGGAGGGCCACGAGCGGGTGGTCGAGCTGCTGATTCAGCGCGGCGCAGAGGTCAATTTGCGGAACAGCTACGGCGACACCGAGCTGATGCTCGCCGCCAACAACGTTCTGGGCCACCCCGCCATCGCCGCTTGCTTCCTGCCGGCTCGCCCCGATATGCAACCGCGGTGTCTGTTGCAGTAAGTACCTCGATTTCTTTTTCCACCGAAAGCAGCCGGTTCAGGCGCCATTTGGCGTGGTCGTTGCCCGGGGGTTGGAGAAGGGCTGCGCACCTAAGTTGATGAGCGACGAGCTCGCCCCGAAGCAGCGCGTGATCATTCGCGGTCTCACCGCCGAGCACTTCAACGGGCTCGAGGGCCGACTTCTCCGCTTCGACGACAAGCTCGGGCGGTGGAAAGTGCGCGTCGGCGCAGTGGCCGGCGAGGAGAGACTCACGCTCGCCCTGAAGCGCGAGAACCTGGAGCGGCTTGGCGGCGGCGGCGCCAGCAGTGGCGGCGACGCGAGCAGCAGCGGTTGCAGCGGCGGCGGCGCCAGCAGCAGCGGTGCAGAAAGTAGCGCTCGCGGCGGGAGCGGCAGTGGCGGCGGCGGCACCAACAGTTGCGGCGGGAGCGGCGGCGGGAGCGGCGGCGGGAGCGGCGATTGCAGAAGTGGCGGCGGCGGCAGTGGCAGCTCGGGCGTGCACGACGGCAGCGGGAGCGCCGAGTCGGGCGGCGGCAGCGGTGCTTTGGCGGCGGTGGCGGAGGGGGCGGGCGGGGCGGCGGTGGAGGAGGGGGGCGGCTTGGCGGAGGAGGCGGTCACGGGCGGCTTGGCGGAGGAGTCGGGCGGCTTGGCGGCGGTGGAGGAGGGGAGCGGCTCTGCGGTGGAGGGAGCGGCGGCGTGCGCCCGGGCGGTCGCCGCTGCGTCTGAGGCGGGCGACGGCAGCCCGGCTGCTGATCCCAAGCGGCTGCAACGAACGATCGGCGGCGGCGGCGGCGGCAGTAGCAGCTCGGGCACGCCCGAGTCTGGCGGGGGCAGCGCTTTGGCTGGGGCGGTGGAGGAGGGGTTCGGCTTGGCGGAGGCGGTCGCTGCGGCGGGCGAGCTCTCAAGCGGTGGCGCGGCTGCTGGCTCATCTGACTCATCGGGCTCGCAGCACCCCCGCGCCCCCGCGCTTCCGCCGGGGTGGAGCAAGATCACCGACTACGGCAAGGTCAAGGGCTACCGCGGGCCGGCCGGCGAGCGCGTCACTACGAGGAAGGAGGCGTGGCGCCGGCACGAGGCGGCGGCGGAGGAGGCGGGCACGGAGGCGGGTGCGGAGGCGGAGGCGGAGGCGGAGGCGGAGGCGGAGGCGGAGGCGGAGGCGGAGGCGGAGGCGGCGGCGCCTACCGAGGCCGTGATGGCCGAGGGTGCGGGCCTGCGATTGCACCTCTCCAGCAGCAGCAGCACCGGCTACAAGGGAGTGTCGCAGGTTGCCTCTGGCCGCTTCCAAGCGTGCCACTGGGTGCACGGAAGGTGTGACTGCCTCGGAACCTTCGACACGGCGGTGGAGGCGGCGGTGGCGTATGCGCGGGCGGCCGGCGAGTACCAGCCTCCTGCTCATCCTCCTCCGACAGTGGCGACAGAGGCGGAGGGGCTGCGGCTGCACCTCTCGAGCAGCAGCAGCACCGGCTACAAGAGCGTGGGCAAGCTGCCCTCTGGCCGCTACCGGGCGGAGCACTACGTGGACGGACGGCGTGACTCCCTCGGCTGCTTCGACACGGCGGTGGAGGCGGCGGCGGCGTACGCGCGGGCGGCCGGCGCTGCGCCTGAGACTGGCGAGGGCGGTTTGTATGCCAAGCGGCAGCGCACGAGCAGCAGCGGCGGCGGCGGCAGCAGTAGCTCGGATGGGGTGACGGAGGAGGCGCCTGCCGAGGCGGTGGCGGAGGAGGCGGGGGGCATGCGCTTGCACCTCTCCAGCAGCAGTGCCACTGGGTACAAAGGCGTCTACAAAGGCGACGCCACCGGATACAAAGGCCGCTTCCTTGTGAAGCACTACGTGGACGGAAGGTGTGACTGCCTCGGCGCCTTCGACTCGGCGGTGGAGGCGGCGGTGGCGTACGCGCGGGCGGTCGCGGAGGCGTCTCGAGCTTCCGCCCGCCCGGCCAGCGCTGCGTGTGATGAGGCGGACGACGGCAGCGGCCCAGCCCCGGAGGCCAAGCGGCAGCGCACGGCCCCCGCCGCCGTGCCCACGTGCCTCTCCGACTTCCCGCCGCACGGGTGCGAGGTGCTGATCGCGCGCCGCGACGGAGAGCCCCTCTACTGCGGCGTCGTCGGCCACACGGCGGACAGCCTGCTGCTGGTCCATGTGCCCGAGTACTGGTGACTTGAACTCCTCGGTCATATTGACTAGGCGGACAGCCTGCTGCTGGTCGATGTGCCCGAGGACTGGCGACTTGAACTCCTCGGTCACATTGACTAGGCGGACAGCCTGCTGCTGGTCGATGTGCCCGGCGAGGCGGGCCCCGTTGCCAGGTCCGTCCACGGGCTACGGACCGGGCTGGGCGCAGCAGAGACGCGGCCGCTCGTCCGCCCTCTCGCGCACCTCCCGAGCCGCCCTCTCGCGGCGCAGGTCGCTGCAGCCGACCCGCACGCGATGCTTGCGCCGCCGCCGCCGCCTCCACGGCAAGGCGGCGGCGGCAGCAGCGGCGGCGGCGGCGGCGGCGGCGGCAGCAGTGGCGGCGGCAGCAGCAGTGGCGGCGGCGGTGCCTGCAGAAGAGATGGCGGTGCCGCTGCATGCAGCTACCTGCCACCGTCGGCCGCCTCGGCACGGCTAGGGTACGAGGACGTCAACGAGTCTGGTAACTTCGTGCTGTCTGCGTGCGGCACGCGGCGGGTGGCAGTGAGGTACGCACGAGAGTCAGTGCTCCACGGCTCGTGCCCCTTCGCTCATGCATTCATTGCTTTGTTCATTCATTCATTCATTCATGGACAGGTAGCCAGCATTCGTTCCTTCTGTCATTGATCCATCCATGAATGGACAGGTACGCACCGCACGAGGCGCTCTCCGCAGAGCTGGCGGAGCGGGTGCGGGCTGAGCACGGCCTTGGCTGCGCCTTGCCGGAACCTTCTCGGAACTTTCCGTGGATCCCCGTAGGTGGTGGAGTACGGCAAGCTGCGCGCGTTCGAGACGAGCGACGGGCGCGGCTGGGGTTTGTGCTGCGCGCGGCGTCTGCGCCGAGGCGACGTCGTCGTCGAGGTCCGAATCTCGGCTAGATCTCGGCTAGATCTCGGCTAGATCTGGGCTGCATCCCGGCTGCCCCTCGGCTGAGTCGTCTCACACTTCCACCTCCTTCGCTGTCGAGGCGATCGGCCGCTGCCTGAGCGAGGAGGAGTACGAGGCGGCTCACCGGACAGAGTTGCGTCGGAGACAGTGCGGACAGTCCGCGTTGGACGAGTCATGCGTGCCTCCTCAGGCGGTCGACCAGACGGAGTACGTCGTCTCGTTCGACGACGAGACGCTCGAGCGCAAGCGGGCGGCGGGGGACGACGTGCTCTACATCGACGCGCGGCAGCAGGGCAGCAACGATGCGGCTCGCAAACGGCTCCTCGACGACGGCGGGTGACGTGCGAGCCTCACGACTGATAGGCAACATGATGCGGCTCGCAAACGATTCGGCGCAGCCGAACCTGAAGCTCCTCTACTGGCCTCCGCCGCAGCGGGGCGGGCTGCCCCGCCGCGCCTTCCTCGTCGCCACCGCCGACGTCCCCGCCTACGCCGAGCTGACTTGGTCGTACGGACAGCACTACCCCCGCCCGTGGCTGCCGGGCCGAGGGCCGGGCCGAGGCGACGGCAAGGCGCGCGCGATGCCGCCGGCCGTGGGCGTGGCCGAGGGCGTGGCCGAGGAGGCGGAGGGCTTGCGGCTGCACCTCTCCAGCAGCAACGCCACTGGGTACAGGGGCGTGTATGAGTACTCCACTGGCCGCTTCCAAGCGCAGCACTACGTGGACGGACGGCGTGACTCCCTCGGCTGCTTCGACACGGCGGTGGAGGCGGCGGCGGCGTACGCGCGGGCGGCCGCGGCGCCGGCAGACTCGTCCTGGTCCAGCGGCGGCTCTTCGGCGGCCGAGCCATCGACGTCTGCGGCAGAGTTCGAGGTAGGCCGCGCCGGAGTCCGCCCCGGCTGAGGATGCGTCCACGACGCGTCCGCGGCCGTGCCTCTCGCAGGTGGATCGCATCCTGTCGGAGAGGCGGAGGGCGGGCGCCCCAGAGTACCTCGTCGCGTGGAAGGTGACCTCGAAGGGCGCAGCCGCCACGGGGGGGAGGGGGAGGGGGAGGGGGGGGGGGTAGGGGGCGATTGCCGTGCGGACGGCGTCTCACGCCTCCTCCTCCTCCCGCGAGCAGGCGGGCCAGCCGACGTGGGAGCCGGCGTCCAACCTGGCGGACGAGGACGGCACGGTCTGCGCGGCGCTCCTCTCGTGGCAGGCGGGGGAGGCGGCCGCCAGTTCGCCGCCGTACGCAGAGGTGCCGCCGCAGCAACCAGACGGCCCGCCGCCGCTCGGCATGCCTCCGGTCGTGCGGGCCCTCGAGGGCGTCGGGCTGCAGGTGTACGCGGGCGTGTTTGAGGACCTGGGCTACGACGACTTGCGGTACCTCCTCGGGATGGACGCGGCGGAGCGGGCCCAGGTCGCCGAGAGCGTTGCGATGAAGCGCGGGCACGCCGAGAAGTTTGCCCGGTGGGGCTTCTCCATCCCAATCGCAGACGCGTAGTCGGGAGCTGAACTTGTTCTCGCGCGGGCCCCTAGACTTAAACTAGACCCCAGTCCCCAGAGGCTAGAAGGGAGTGTACCCCGCCGTACGTACGGGCGAGACACGTTACGTGGTCGCGTGGTCGCGGGAGACGCAGAGGCGCGTGCGCGTTGTGACGTTCTGTTGTGCGCAACCTCCGGTCTTGACCGGAACCACTCGGCGCGGCTCGCTGTGATCTCACTCGCTGTGACTTGTGACGACTAATCGTAAAGCACGGATCTCGCCTTTTGATTTTCACATACTAGATATATCCCTCTCTGTAGACTCTGTGTCGACTCTGAGTACTGACGGACCTCCACGCTCCACGCAATCATGGCCACAAGCCTTCCGTACCGCTTTCGCTCTCGGCGTTCATCGCTACCCCGCGATCCGCGCCGCACCCACCGCCGCGTCGAAGCCGCCGTCGCCTCCGCCGCGCCGCTGCTTCGCCGCACGGTAGCTCTCGAGCACCGCCTCGCGCTGCCGAGCGAGCGCGTCGGCGGCCGCAGTCTTGTGGGGCGACTTGCGCGCGAGCACGCCCTTGATCTGGAGCTCGGGCGGCGCGGCGTTGGTCTCGCCGAAGCGAGGGAGCCTCGCCGCGACCTCCGCCTTCGGCTTCCGCGGCTTGACGGGCGCGTGCGGCTCCTGCGGCGGCCCTCTCTCGTTTGCCGCCTCGCCGCCGCCCTCCTCTTCTTGGCGCCGCCTCTTCTTCTTGGCGGGAGGCTTCGGCGCGGGGCCGTGCTGCGCGCCGCCTCGCTCACTGCCGCTCGCCGCCCCCGCCTCCGCCTGCTGCGCCTGCGCCTGCTGCTGCGCCTGCTGCCTTTGCTTCTTGGACGGCCTCCGCTCGCCCGTGTCCTCGATGTGGCGCGGCCGCCGCTCGGCCGACGCGCCCTGCTGCACGAGCTGCACCGCGTGCATCATCTGCCGCATCTTGCGCGGCACCTGCGTGTCCCACGACGCCTTGAAGGGAACGACGTCCTTGGTATCAACGCGGTACGCATTCTCGAGCAGCGCGCCGCTCATGTTCTTCTCGCGCTTGCGGCTCGCGAGCGAGCGGGACTTGGCGTGGCGGCCCATGGCGATGCTGCGCAGGGATGGGTGCGAGGAGCGGGGAGCGAGCGCAAACGAGAGAGAGAGAGTTGCGACGCGTGAGGCGACGAGCCAGCGCGCTGGAGGCTGTGCGGAAAAGAATGAAGGCGAGAACACAAAAGAGACAAAAAGAAAAAAACCGGGGCAGAAGGGAACCATGACGCAAGGGCGGTCGCACCTCGCGGTGTTGCGAGGCGACGAAGCAGCGGTGCGTTCGTGGCTCGAGAGAGGCGGGCGAGCAAACACCACACACAAGTACGGCGAGGTGACCGGATATACCCTGCTGATGGACGCTGCCGGCCAGGGCCACGAGCGGGTGGCCGAGTTACTATTGCAGCACGGCGCTCAAGTCAACCTGCAGAGCAGCGAAGGCGACACCGCGCTGATGCTCGCCGCCCAGGGGGGGCACGAGCGGGTGGTCGAGCTGATGCTGCGGCGCGGCGCGGAGATCAACGTGCAGGGCAGCAATGGCCGCACTGCGCTGATGGCCGCCGCCACCAGCGGCCACGAGCGGGTGGTTGAGCCGCTGCTTCAGCGCGGCGCGGAGATCAACGTGCAGGACAGCAATGGCGACACCGCGCTGGTGCTCGCCGCCATCGGCGGCCACGAGCGGGTGGTCGGGCTGATGCTGCAGCGCGGCGCTGGCGCCGAGGTCAACATGCAGAGCCGCGAAGGTCGCACCGCGCTGATGGTCGCCGCTAGCAAGGGCCGCGACCGAGTCGTCGAGCTGCTGCTGCAGCACAGTGCTGAGGTCAACCTGCAGGACGGCCACGGCGGCACCGCGCTGATGGACGCCGCCGGCTACGGCAACGAGCGGGTGGTCGAGCTGCTGCTGCAGCGTGGGGCTGAGATCAACGTGCAGGACAGCAATGGCGACACCGCGCTGATGCTCGCCGCCCAGGAGGGCCACGAACGGGTGGTTGAGCTGCTGCTGCGGAGCGGCGCTGAGGTCAACATGCAGGACAGCGACGGCTACACCGCGCTGATGTGTGCCGCGGAGAACGGCCGCGAGCTGGTGGTGGAGCTGTTGCTGCAGCATGGCGCTGAGCTCAGCCTGCAGAGGAGCAACGGCGGCACCGCGTTGATGGCCGCCGCCGGCCAAGGCCACGAACGGGTGGTTGAGCTGCTGCTGCAGCGCGGCGCGGAGATCAACAAGCAGAAGAGCGACGGCTTCACCGCGCTGATGCTCGCCGCCATCGACGGCCACGAGCGGGTGGTCGAGCTGCTGCTTCAGCGCGGCGCGGAGATCAACAAGCAGGACGGCAAAGGCCACACCGCGCTGAGGCTCGCCGCCGCCAGGCTCGCCACCGCCAGCGGTCACGAGCGGGCGATCGAGCTGCTGCTTCAGCACGGCGCGGATGTCAACCTGCAGGACAGCCACGGCCTCACCGCGCTGATGTTCGCCGCCCAGGAGGGCCACGAGCGGGTGGTCGAGAAGCTGCTGCAGCGCGGCGCGGAGGTGTGCGAGCAGGACAGCATCGGCCGCACTGCGCTGATGGGCGCCGCCCGCAGTGGCCACGAGCGGATGGTCGAGCTGCTGCTGCGGCGTGGCGCGGAGATCAACGAGCAGGGCAGCAACGGCTGGACCGCGCTGATGGGCGCCGCCAACTACGGCCACGAGCGGGTGGTCGAGCTGATGCTTCAGCGTGGGGCGGAGATCAACCTGCAGGACAGCAGAGGCACCACCGCGCTGATGGTCGCCGCCCAGGAGGGCCACGAGCGGGTGGTCGAGCTGCTGCTTCAGCGCGGCGCGGATGTCAACCTGCAGGACAGCATCGGCCTCACCGCGCTGATGACCGCCGCTGGCAACGGCCACGAGCGAGTGGTCGAGCTGCTGCTTCGGCGCGGCGCGGAGGTCAACGTGCAGCAGAGCGACGGCTTCACCGCGCTGATGGGCGCCGCCGCCACCGGCCACCTCCCCGTCGTGCTCTGCCTGCTGCAGGCTGGCGCGGATACGAAGGCTCGCCATGCGGACGGCTGGTCCGCGCTGCAGCTCGCCAAGAAGGAAGAGGCCAAGCCTGCGACTGCCGAGGCCGCCAGTGCTCCTCCAAAGGACCACGCCGGGTGCGTGCGCGCTCTCACAGCAGCAATGAGAGAGGCGGAGGCGGCGGAGAAGGCTGCAGAGAAGGCGCTCGAGGTCAAGGGGCGGCGCGAGCAGCGCGAGCGGGAGGCGGAGGCGGCGGCGCGAGAGCGCGAGCAGACGGCATGCAGGCGGGAGGCAGAGCTGGCGGCGGACGAGGCGCGGCGGGCGGCGAACGCGGCGGCGCTGGAGGAGCAGAGGCGAGCCATTGCGGCGGAGGCAGAGGCGAAGCTGGCCGCTGAGCGCGCGGCAGCAGAGGAGACGCTGCGGGCGAGAGAGGCGGAGAAGCTTGCGGCTGAGGAAGAGCGGCGAGAGGAGCAGCGGGCGGTCTGTGCGACCGCCTAAGATACGTCCGAAAATTCCTTTTTTGCACGACACTGCTAATGCCAGTGCGCGCCAGCTTAAGAATTTTTCTTTTTTGCACACGTCGTCTGCGCCTTTTCTGTCGTGTGAATCGTAATCCTGTGATTTCGGGGCCCGGGGTTGGGATCCTCTGCGGCCGGGTTCAGAAAACACGCCGGCGTGGGGAACCTCCAGCCAGAGGCCGCCAGGGCCTGTGGAGCGCGAGGGTTGCTGAGCGACGGGAGCTGTCTCCTCGTTGGCGAGTAGTCGAGACGATTATGGTCCAGGCCGTCCTCTGCATCGACGTCTCTCAGCGGGTCGCGGTCGACGCCAGCGGCCGCCGCGCGCCTCGCGGAGAGGGTGCGCTCATTCTGGCCGCCGGCAAGCTCTCCTTCTTTCCGCGTCCCAGTGAGGATGGCTTTGACGCAGAGCCGTGGGTCATCGATCTGCAGCAGCGCACCCTTGCGTGGTCGAGCCACGGCGAGCTGGCGGTGCTGAGCTCAGGAGCCGAGGACGTTGGCTACACGGCTCTGAGCATGCGCGGTACGGCTGCTGAGTTCCACGAGCTCGCAAGGCTGCTCGGGCTGCCGCCGCCGCCGCCCGAGCCGCCCGCCGACCCAGCCGCGGCCCGGCGCGCGGCTGCGATCGCCTCCACGATTGAAGACGGCGGCGCGAGGGCGGCGCTAGCCGTGCGCGACGGCGCCGGGCGGCTCACGTCTGGCCTCGAGCGCGCGCTCGCCGCCTTCAAGGAGGAGGTGGAGCCGCGCTCGCAGCCGACGGCGGTCTCGCGCTCGACCGAGCAGCTCGTGCAGTCTGCGCGCGCCGCGGCTTGCGTCGCGGAGGACCTCACGCGCGCCGTCGGCGCGGGCGTGTCGGTTGTGGCGTCGGCCGTCGGGGCGGAGGCTGGCGCAGCGCTGCGCAGGGCTGCGGCTAGATTGAGCCCACAGGCTGACACGGACCCAAGATCACGCACACGGCAGTCGAGAGCAGACAGACAGCGACGTCCGACGGCAGTCGGGAGGCAACACTGGCGGTGCTCACGCCAAGCCGAGGCCCGAGCCCCGAATCGCTTGGGCGGCGGCACCCCAGCGTAGAGGGCGTGGAGTAGCGCTCCAATTGGTAAGTTTGAATTCCCTTAGGCGGCGAGCGGTCACCCGACCCGCGAGGCGCTGCTCGCGGTCGGGGGAGCGACGCTGAGCGCTGCGTCGGAGGTGGTGGACGCGATCTACTCGGCGGCGGGCGAGGTGGCGAGCGGCGGCGCCGCGGCCGCGTCGGGCGCCATCCGACATGTCCACGGGGAGGACGCCGGGCGAGATCTAGCCGAGATCTGGGCGAGATCTGGCCGAGATATGACACGGGGAGGACGGCGGGCGAGATCTAGCCGAGATCTTCTGCTCCCCTGCTGCTCCCAAACTGCTTCCCTGCTGCTCCCCTGCTGCTCCCAAACTGCTTCCCTGCTGCTCCCCTGCTGCTCCCAAACTGCTTCCCTGCTGCTCCCCTGCTGCTCCCAAACTGCTCCCCTGCTGCAGGCGGGTGGCGGGCGAGGGGCTCGGCGCGGTCTCCTCCGCCGCCGCGGCGGCGAGGAACCTCTCCCTCCTCCGGAGCCGCGGTGCGCTTCTCAGAAGCACCGCCACCGGCGCCGCACGGATGTGCAGTGGCAGTGGCACCGGCGACGGCGGAGAGGACGCAGGACACGTCTCTCGGCTGCAGCAGCAGCAGCACTCTGCGCCGGGCAGCGAGGAGGAGGAGGAGGCGGAGGAGGAGGCGGCGGCAGAGGAGGCGGCGGCTTCGTCTGAGGAGGCGCCGGCATGCGAGGAGGAGGAGGAGGCGGCAGAGGAGGCGCCGGCATGCGAGGAGGCGGACCCGCTCTGCAGTCTCGCCCTCTCCTCGCCCGTCCCGCGCCCTGCCGGAGGCGTGCATCGGCTCGACGCGCGCGCGGACATGTCCAGAACACGTCCACGACATGTCCACGACATGTCCCGGAGGCGTGCCGCGGCTCGACGCGACCAGCTGGCCGCGGGACCCTGCCCTGGCGGCGGCGCAGTTTGACGCACTGCGGCGGCGCAGGCAGCCGGTGGTGCTGTCGGGCTGCGTGGGGCACTGGCCGGCGCTGCGCTGCTGGTCGCACGCAACTAGTACGCGCGCGCAACACGTCAAGTAGAAGACTCCGTCAGTGTCGACGTCGTTGTTGATCAGGTCGCACGCCTACTTGCGCAAAGCCCTCGGGGACAAGCTCGTGCACGTGGCGTGCACGCCCGACGGGCTCGGCGACGCCGTCACACGCACGGCCTCCGGCGAGCAGGACCTCAGCCCCTTTGAGCTTCGCCCTGAGAGCTACCACTGAAGCGCTAACCCCAGCCCAACCAACACCAGCCCCTCCCCATCAGCCCCCCCCCCCCCCCCCCCCAAGCCCCGGCCCTGCCGGCGAGCAGGTCTTCGTCAAGCCGCACGAGGCGGAGATGCCCTTCTCCGCATTCGTCGACCTGATCGAGACTCCCCTCCAGCCGGCGACCCGAGGCGGCGGCGGCGCTGACGGACGCAGCGGCGGCGCTGACGGTCGCAGCGG